TAATTAACACCATCATTATAATTAGTGACCACAAAAACAATAAAGGCCAAGGAAACTCCCTCACAGCCACCAAGGCTCCCAGGGAGCCCCATCCGACCCCACCCAGGGGCTGGACCTGGCCTTCCCACGCACCCACTCCACCCAGGCCCAGGACTAAACAAAATCAGGCCCTTCCCCACCCATGGGCGGAACCTTGTCCCACTGGTCTCAACAACAGGAGTACCGGGAGCCAATCCTTGACGCTCCCTTCTGCCCCGCCCCGCCCCACAGAAAGAGGAAACTCTACGGCATTCCATCAGATTGACTGAGGAGCTAGCCAATCTCCTCAGAGTGCTGCCCCATCCGGCTAACTCGAGAGGCGGAACTAACTAGTTGAGATAGACAGCTAAGCGAGCCAATAGGATCATCAGAACTAGCGAAGGGGTTGGGCCCTGGGCGCCGACAGAGCGGTTAAGGCCCCTCAGGCCAAGGGCTCGATGACCCGGGGGCTACAGATGGGGCCTTTTTCTCCTCTGACCTCCACCCTAGAGATGCTGGCCTATAGACTGGCTAGGGACTGCCTCCCTCAAGGAGAAGGAGACGGCCAAAGCCTCCTGACAGGCCGAGCCAGTGACAAAGAGTCAGTGGCCAGGGCGGGGGACCCTCAGACTAAGATAGTCGGGCCCTGCTCGAGAAAGAGAGAACCAAGACTCACGTTGTCGATCACGACAGGCTGATTGGCGATAATATCGTAGGACTCCATGGCAGAGGGGGTCTCTCCTCTGGAGGAAGAAACTGCCGGCCGGGTCCGCCGCTGCTACCGCCGCTACACATGCGCAATGCTGTCCCCGGGACAAGGCGGTCGGGAGGGGCCGCTCCTCGCCCTCCGGAAGACTACAGTCCCCAGTATGCTATGCGGTACACCCCCTCCCCCCCGGAAAGCCTCTCAGTCTGTTTCAAAATCGAGCTAAGCTTTGCATGATGGGTACCAGCCCTTCCCTCGCATAGCACTTTGGGCTTTGTAGTTTAGAGAAGTGTGAAAGAGACCTAAATTGTTTGCCGTTGTTCATGATGGGATCTGTAGTCCATTGAGTCTTTGAGGCGGGTTCGAAATGTATGCTGGGACATGCAGTCTCACGGAGCTGTATCTCTAAGTACTTGCCTGTGGCCTCATAAATGCGCTACATACCGGGAACTTTTCTCCACAGTGGAATAACTTATTTTTCATTCTTGCTTTATACTTATATTTTATCTTTGCTATTCGTAGGGCCCATCTCCTTTCACATTTTTGCATGGCTTCAATATCTTTTGTTTTGCAACGTGTGTGTGTGTGTGTGTGTGTGTGTGTGTGTGTGTGTGTGTGTAGGGGGAGGGTTCTAATATTCATGCAATCAGCACAATGTCATCTGCAAACACAAGCATCTTTAAAACCTTACCGTTTGGACTCCTCTTACGTTTAGACTTTGTTTTGGACTTCCTTCCTGACAATGCCTAGCATCTTTGGTAAGCTCATGTGTCCATTGATAGTCATCATTGGAGGTTATCTCTAAAGCTGGAGCCTATAAGGAATCTTGTTTTGATTTTTTTAAATGCAGCTGTGCTTTTTGAAGTTGTGTCAAGATTGAATTTGGCTGTATAAAATCACATGCTTTTTTAAATATTCGACAAACAACAAGCAGTCAGTGGGAGCTTGTATTCTTTGTTTCATTCAGTCAGTTGTGTAACTATAAAGATGTGGTCTGTTATAGAACATAATTTATGAAAACCTGCCTGTTCTTTCTCATACTGTCATCAAGGATGCCTACGATATGTGTGTTCTTAATTCTCATAGATTTTTGTAGGTATATGGGTTTACAGTTATTGATTTTTTAAATAATTATTTTTAGTAGTAAAAATGCCCATTTCTTCCCCCTCACCCCCTTTGGCATCCTCTCCTTTTTATTAGATATCTTGAGAATCAGTCCCTCAACATTCATAGTACTGTGTTGCATCAGAACAGACCTCTTCTAGTTATACTTTGTTTAGTCTATCTGTATAAGTTGTTGTTTGTGATCATTTTTGACAGGCCTTTTAGAATCAGAAGGGCACTCAATTATCTAATTAAAATCCTTCATTTTACAAATGATACTAAGATCAAGAAAGTTTAAATTATTTCTCTGGGGATCACACAGCTGTCATTGAATAGCCAGGACTAGTAAGAGTATTTCTGCCACATTTCCTTGAACAAGTTATTTAACCTCTCCAGATTCATATGTACAATGAATAGATTGAATTAAATGATATCCGAGGTTCCTTCCATGAGAATTTTTGGTTCTGGTTTCATGTCTGATCATGCCCCTTCTCTACTCTAAAACCTTACCTAGGCTCTGCATTGCCTCAAAGATAAAATACAAACTCGTTTGCATTTAAGGCCCTCTCTGTTCTAAGCTCTTATTTCATACTCTTCACCTTTACAAATTAAGTTCTATTTTTTTTAATACAATTTGAGTGAAAATAAATTCAATACAGGGGTGTCCAATACTAGCACCATCCGCCCCTATGCTGTGGACAAAGAGCTGGACTAAAGTCGTCATTTGCCCCCCCCTTCTGTTTCCTGATCTGGAAAATGGGGCTAATATGCCTGCAGTAGGTACTTCACAGTTCATTGCTATCATCTTCAAAGATGATAATGTACATAAAATGCTTTCCACCCTCCGAGCTCTTGTTAAACCTAACCTTATCTGCGCCAAAGCTGCTACTCTGTCAGGATGGACAATATGCCTCTGAACCAACAGATGAGTTCTGGTAACACAGACAGCTTCTGTCTTTTCCCATAATGTTGCTGTTCTACTACAGTGTTAAATAGAACAACAACTGTCAGGAAATTGTCACTCTGGACTCCTTTTTGACTGCAACAGCTATAAAAGGAACTGCTGAAGCTTCGATAAGGGCCTAAGTTCTAATTTCTAAAGATGGTACTTTATCTTCTATTGTGTACCCTATGACTGGTATGCACTTTCTTTTCATCTGTCCTTATTGTCCTCATCCTTCAAGGCCAGTTCAAGTTCTGCCTATTTTTCGAAGTCTTTTCTAATTTTCCCCAGTTGCTGAGGTGCTTTCCCTCCTCAGTTTACCACAAATTAGAGTTACCTGTGTACATATTGTATCCTCTCCAATAAAATGTATGCTTCTTGAGGAAGGTGACTTTGAGTTTTTTATTTTTATATCCCCAGTGCTGAGCACACTGTTTTGAATATAGATGCTTTATAAATGTCCAATCAAATTCTTATGAACATTCCTTCAAGGCACCCAGAGTTTCATGCATCATCTCATTCCTTTTGATAGAGAGCCAGAATTATAACCTTATGTGGAAATGGAAACAAGGACAGATTAAGCAGCAGAAATGCAGACTGTTCCTGGCTTTGCAAGTTACTAGCCAGGAAGCCATGGAAAAGTCGCTTACCCTATCTGAACCTTCCTGAGTTTCTAAGTCTATAAAATGAGAATGATACTTGTACTATCTATCTCATAAGGTTGTTAAAAGGGGAAGTGTTCTGTAAGCCTTACCAAATTTGATGATATTTTAAAGCACTTAACACAGTGCCTAGCACACAGAAGGTGTCTAATAAATGCTTGCTACCTACCTCCCCTTAAAGCACTATATAAATGTGAGTTACTATTGGGATACCCGTTCCCAAGTATCAGTGTCTTTGAGTTACTTAATCATACTTGCCTATGGAACCCCCTCTTTTTCTATTGATTCCTGTGGCTGCCTCATTTTACATTCAAGATTATTTGAATAAATAAATGTGACTATAAAGTTATTGTAAGTTTTAAAAAATCCATAAGCTGGTGTCTTAGAATCTTTTTTTAAATCTTTTTTTTTTGGTGAAGCAATTGGGGTTAAGTGACTTGCCCAGAGTCACACACAGCTAGTGAATGTTTTATATGTCTGAGTCTTAGAAATTTTTAAGACTCTCCCCATATATAGCAGGTAATGGTTATGGGGGACAGCAGGAATTCTTCACTAGTAACTTTTCAATGTAGGAGAGAAACAGCAGAAGGGAATGCTATCATAATAAAAAAAATTTATTAAATTTCTATCTGTACGGAGTACTTGTGGAAAATTATATAGAGTGGCTTTACTTCTCCAAAAGTGGGTATTATTATATTTTGGTTCAGACCTCTCTGACTTTATCTGTATAGAGGAACTCCAGTTATGGAAACTCCTCTCAGTGATGCAGACTGGCAACTCATCTGTAACTGAGGGAATTTTTGAGAGCCACCTTGGAGCATCCAAAGGTTAAGCGACTTGCCCAGGGTTAGGCAGCTTGCCAGGGACTATCACACTAGTGATAGTGAGAAGCTGGTTCTCAATCTGGTCTACCATGCTGCCTTTTGTTTTAGTAATGTTCTTTTACAAAAATAACCCCTGCCTTCGTGGAGTTTACAGTCTTACAAACAACACACAGAAAAGAATACATAAAAGTCACAGCCGACAGAGGTAACCTTTCAGGAATCTTGTTCAAAGATGCTGGTGCTGCCGATACGGAATCGAAGCCTAAACTGCTTTAAAAAAAAAAAGTCAATACCACGCAGATGAATGAATGAATGAATCAGTCCGCCGGGATAGAACTTCCTTCGCACAAAGGGGAGAGCAGCGGTAGCCGTCAAAGGTACAGAACCGTGGTCCTCTCGCTAGTCTCTGAGGGATGCCCAGAGCCCTGCGTGCACTCAGGTAACACCTCCGGATGGCCAGGGCTAGCCCAATAACTTCTCCCACCCTCCCGGGTCTCTGGACAGTAGAGGCGGGGCCTGTTGTCAAGCCACGCCTTCCAGCCTGTGACTGATATAGATGACAACCAATAATCATCAGGAGAGCGGCCGCTGGAGCCCCGCCCCAAAGAGCGCCCGGCGGCCCCGCGGCGCCTCACTGGCAGACTCGGCAGCGGCGGCGGCCTGGGTGGACGGGGGTGCTGTGCGCAGGCGCGGAGTCCGGACCTCGCTGCTGCCCCGGTCGCCTCAGGGCGTCGCACCCACGAACTCTGCTTGCTGTCCCGCCAGTGTGTCCGTCAGTGCCAGCCTCCGCCCCCCGCCCCGGCCCCGGCCCCCGCCGCTCCGATGGCTGAGCTGCGGCCTAGCGGCGCCCCCGGCCCCGCCGCTCCCCCGGCCCCAGCCCCAGCTCCGGCCCCCGGCCCCGCTGCACCCCCGGCCTTCGCCTCACTCTTTCCCCCGGGGCTACACGCCATCTATGGCGAGTGCCGCCGCCTCTACCCCGAGCAGCCCAATCCGCTGCAGGTCACCGCCATCGTGAAGTACTGGTGAGCCCGGGGGGCGGAGCGGAGGGCTAGCCGAGGGGGGCGGGGGCAGCGCGGCGGGTGTTGAAGGGTTAAGCCGACGGGCGGGGGGAGGGGCCAGCGAGGCGACGCGAGGCTTGGGAGGGAAAGGGTTAACTTGAAAGCCTCCGGGGAGTAACGGGAACAAAGGGGTTAACCGGGCTCGAGGACCCAAGAGTTAATGGAAATTTGGGCAGAGGGGGTGCTTGGGGTTGCGGGGCTATGGAAGAAAAGGGGTCTTTGGAGCCGGGGGCGGGGCATAGGGACTCGTAGACCCTGGCGGGAGGCAAGAGGAGCTACGGCTTAGGAGAGGGAGCCAGGGGTGGGGGGTGGGAGAGGACAGGACATTATTGTAGGGTGGAAAAGTCTAGGAGTCCCAAGCTGGAGGTTTGGGGCTGAGCCGTTGTTCGGACGGCCTAGGGTGGCTGCCTGGGTCGGGGGAAAGTTTGCCTGTTTGGGACTTGTTGGAAGGAGTCCCTCTTAGGGATGGGGGGGGAGGGGAGGGAAAAGAAGGGGAGGTGGAGAAAGAGAAGGTCTATGCCCTGGATGGACTGGAGGTTAGAGAAGAGAAGAGGAACTTTTTTTTCCGGACACAGGCAGGATGAGCTAAAACCTGTTGGTAGTGGACAGGTTTTGCACTTGAAGTTTTTTGATCGGTAAATTCTCCTCCTCTTTTGTTTTTAAGTTTTGGAAGTTTTCTCTGAAAGTCGTTCCTTTGACGGCCTCTTTTGCTTTTGGGTAATGAACTGACCACAATCTTAATTTCTGTAGACCTAGAGGAGGAGAGCAAATTGAGTCCAGGGTCAAACATAGGGAATGAGGAATTCTCATTGAATTTAAAGGGGCTAAAGGTTAGAAAAAGATTCGTATATGAGCTTTTTTAGGCGCAGCTTGGCTTATCTCCGTTGGAAGACGTGAAAAGAATCCTGTACTGAGAGGCCTGGGTTTTTAAGCCCAGTGTCTCTGACACTTAACTAGTTAGTTCTCTTTCCACTGACAAGTCACTTAAACTCTCTGGGTTAAAGTTTGCTCTTTTGCAAAGTGTTTTAAATGTGCTCCAAAATCTCTTCGAGCGCCAAATTCTTTGATTTTTAAAAATGATTTTTGATTGCCCTAAAGCACCGGGGGTATTTGGCCATAAGAGAGCAGTAGGGCGAATGTTTGAAGGGCTATCGCATGTCTCTAAGGGGCACAAACGTTAGGAGCACCGAAGGGAGGAGTGGAAGAGAAGTGGATTCATACTTTATTTAAGGAAAAACTTTCCAACAATTAGGTTTATGCAGAAGTGAGAGGAGATACTGCTCACTTGAGGTCTTCAAGAGAATATTATAGAGGGGATTCTTAGTCGGGTGAGAGTTAGATTAAATGGCCTCTGAAATCTCTTCTAACTCTCATTCTGTGATTTTTATGGCAAACTGGTAACAACCAATGGATTCTGACAAGGAGGCTCTAGTCTCAGCTAGAAAATATACTATATTGGTACCAAGATTTATTTCATGAGAATTGTTTTATAGCTTGTAGCTGTCCCTTTAAGGAAGACGCTCGGTTCATGTCCATGCAGCCTTGGGACAGGAAGAAGGGGCAGATCCCTGGAAACTGACCTCTTGAGACAGCTGCTCTTCTTGTGGCTCTGGAATCAGTTGACTAGAAAAAGGGGAAGCTGGGTAAAGTGAGTTCCATTTCTGAATCATTTGGCCTATGATTTCCTCTTTTGGGATTGAGCACTTCTTCTCACCAAATACCTTACCATTTCCCTTTAAATGCTGCTGTGCAGGTCAGTGGCTAGGAGACCTCCATGTTGGAACAAGCGGTCTGCTGCAGGGCAGGCTCAAAAGTTGGCTAAGCAATAGATAATGAGACCTGGCCACTTGTTCTTTTGGAAAGGGAAGTTTTTTGTCCCAGTTGTTGAGGCACCGTTCTCACCTCTTTAGGATTGTTCTTTAGTTGAAGTAAAAAATACCTTTGAGTAATATTAACAATGATTCATATTTCTGTAGCTATTTCTGGCTTATATTTTCTTTGCAACAACACTGTGAGGGTAGTCAGTGCAAATATTATAACTCCCGTTTTATAGGTGAACAAATTGACAGTGAGAGAAATTAGGTGATTTACCTAAGGTCACCTAGCTAGGAAATATTAGGCAGGATTTTAACCCAGGCCTTTTGACTCCAACTCTAACACCTTACTCTTCTCTTAAAAGACCCTTCTGCTGTTCCTCAAACAAGACACTTCATCTCCTGACACTGGGCATTTTTACTGGCTGTTTTCCCTTGCCTGGACTACTTTCTCTCCTCATTTGGTGTTCTGGGTTCCCTCAAATTAAGCTGAAGTCCCACTTTTGCAAGAAGGTTTTACCAGTCCTCCTTAATTAATAATGCCTTCCCTCTCCGACTGTCTCCAGTTTATCCTATCTATAGCTTGTTGTGCTTATTTGTTTGTGTGTTTTTTCCTCCATTAGACTGTGAGTTGCTTAATAGCAGGGACAGTTTTTTACCTGCCCTTGTATCCTCAGCACTTAGCAGAGTGCTTGGCATATAGTGGGCACTTAATAAATGTTTATTGACTAACAAGCTTTATTACTGGTACCCTAGGCTGACTTTCATTTAAAAATACCCTGATGCTTGTATCAGCTGTCTGGTAACTTAATTAACAATTTAAACTATGCTTTTATATATTAATGTATGGTTTGATTGATGTGATTAAAGTACTTCATGGGGAATGAGAAACTTAGTACTTTAAGACTTCACCCAATGAGATTTCTGAGTAGAATGGTGTCACAGGGGGAAGAGGACTTGGTTTATTCATAGAGAAGGGCAAATATTTTTCTTAGTTGATCCAGATGTGTGTAGAATGTACAGAGTACAGCCCATAGCAAGAACTAGAACTGGTTTTGAGAATATTGCCTTTTTTCCTCAAGTATGTATGTGTTTGGAATTGGGCTTGCTTACATACTTTGTGGAGAACACTTTGTTCAATTCTGGGGAGACATAAGCTTAAATAAGACACATTCTTTGTCTTTGTGGAGCTGCCACCTGTGCATTGCCATTATTTTCTCAATTTCTGTTGAGGGCAGCCCCATCCTTTTTGTCACCCTGGTTCAAAACCTTAATATCACAATCATGTTTTTATTCACTGTCATATCTAGTTAGCTGCCAAGTCTTTTTGAATCTACCTCCATAGTGTTTCTCACATCCATCCTTTTTCTTTCCATCCAAATGGCTGTCATCGTAGTTCAGGCCCTTATCACCTTGAACTTGACTATTGCAGCAGCTTTCCAATTGGATTTCCTAGCTCCCAGTCTTTCCTGTTTCCAATCCATCTTTTACACAGCTGCCCACAATAATCATCCTAAAGCACACATCTGACTATCTCACATACTCATGAAACTTTAATGGCTTCCTGTTGTCTCTAGAATAAAATAAACTACTCAGTTTGGCTTTTAAAACCCTTTATGATCTGGTTCCAGGCAACCTTTCCAGGCTTATTTCATGTTATTCCCATTCGTGTATTCTGCATTCCTAACAAACTAACCTGATTGTCGTTCCTCAGACTCTTGCACTTTCTTGTCTCTGTACCTCTGATAGCCTGTGGCTGTTTTGTATACCTAGAATTCATTCCATCTTCACCTCGGCCTCTTAGAATCCCCAGGTTCCTTCAAGGTTCAGCTCATGTGCCATCTTCTTTGGAAAACCTTTTCTGATCTCTCATAGTTCTTAGAATTCTTTGTCCTCAGATTCTGTCATATACTTTTTTTGTTTACACATCATATTCCTCCCAGGAGTATGTAAGTTCCTTAAGGACAGAAATTATTTTTAATCTTTGTATCTCTAGTGCCTAGCACATAGTAGCAGGAGGTACTTAATAAGTGATGTTGGATTGGATTGTTAACCAACTTATGACTTTTCAAAGAGGGGTTGAAATATAATAACTAAGAAAACGGTCATACAGTACTTTGTGATACAGAACTGCTATCATAAGAAAGACTAGCTTAGTAAAAGATTGTCTTTAGAACTTTGAGTCTTTTTTTGAATAATTGAGAAATGGCTAGCAACTCACAGATCCTAAGTTTGGGATTCCATTCCAGCTGCTATTTTACTGTGTGATTGACTTAAAAGTTCTCAAGTGATCCTGCCTGTGTTTGGTTGTGGCATGGAGTTGCCTTCTAGTTACTTTCTCCACAGTATATCAGTGGCCCTTGTGCTAGAAATGCCCGCTAGTGATTTCTCTGGCTGAAGGCCAGGATGTCTGGTGAGCAGAGAAGGTAGTGAAACACAAATCCACAATAGCAGTCTGGGTATTAGAATCTTGGGACCAACTTAATGCCTGGCAACTGACTTTCAGCCCAAAGTTGAGTGTTTCAAGCTCCTCTCTCCACAGCAAACATGAAAGATACTTTGGATCTTTGGATAACATCTTTAAGTGCAAAATATTATTTTCCACATGCTCATCTGCTTTCAATCAGGTCTTTGACTGGCAGAATAGAACATACTGTGCTTGGGGCCAAAGTTAGCTTTGGTTTGACTTTTGGTCATGTAGTTTTAATTTTAAGGAAAACCCCTGTCTCTACCTCTTGACCTGGCATCTTTGGGATTTCTTATGAGGAGTGAAGAAAATAGGATTAGAGAAGCAATTGAACTTCTCAGAGTGTCATGGAGGGATGAAAACTGATGAGGCTTTAGGTTTGGAAATTAATTCACAGCTGGAAGCTGGAGCAGGTAAAGAGGGTACACACTATTGGGCATACACATTGTTTTGTTTAAACACCTACCAAACAGTGTTGTTGTGAGAATTAAGTGAAATTATATATATTAAAAAATGTGTGTGTGTGTGTGTATATATATGTGTGTGTGCATATATTTATATATACATATGTATATGTAAAATACTTTGCTAATTTAAAAATGATGTTTAAATATCAGCTATTATTGCTTCTTTCTTGACCCTCTGGAGTTTTTTCCAAGAGCTCTATTCCTACTTTTTCTTAGTCCCATTGGTTTTGGGATTAATGAAATAAATTTTAAAAGCAAAAGGGAGGGTAGAAATGGAGGTTTGCTGCTTCTTTTCTCTTTTCCTGTCCATCCCAATGAGGACAGATGCTCTTTGTATTAGATTGTATTGTATCGTATGCCACAGAAACTCTTTCCTTGCATGTTCCTAGCATACTTAGAAATGAAGGTTTCTGTAGAGACTGTATGGTACACTCTTAGGGATGTACAGAACCCGATCAACCAGTTTTAAATGGCACTCCACTACTAGGTCTGCCCTGACCATTTGCAATATGTATTTTTATATGAACAAGATTTTTAAAATGAGAATATCTTTCCTTCAACATATTCATTGCACTAATTATCATGTGCTTAAGGAAGGATGAGAAAAAAGTATTTGAGAGTAAATGTTGGCGTTAGAAGGTGGTTTCAGTTAAGTTTGTGTTTGTCAAAATGACCCATTTCCCCACAGATGCTGAAGAAAAGTCCAATGATTTTGTAAAGCACTAATTACTGTTTAAAAGTCCTTGATTGAATTAAATCCTTAGAGTGAGATGATGACTGTGGTTCTTCCGTAAATGCTTTTCTCTGTGCACCAGACTGTGGGAATTGTGTGGTGAATTTAATGGGCTCCTCTGAGGCCTAAATTCATTTAATGTTCCAACTCTACCTTTGAGCAGGCAGTCACGTGGACAGTGTCTTCCAGCTGCAGGAGCTTGCCATGTTGAGCCCAGCATGGTCTTTGCTGTAGTTTTGTGTGCGTAGTTGAGTTATCTCAAGTTTGGCTTTTGTCCCTTGCAATGATAAAAGACCAGCTTTGGTCTGTAGGGTGCAGGCTAGTTAGTGTCTGTGCAGGCTGTAGGCTTTCAGCTTGTTTAGAATAAAGCATAATTAACATAGAGCACAATATGGTCTTTCAGGAATTACCCTCCTGAAGAGGAGAGAATGTAGTTCAGACCCTTAGCCCAGGAACAAAAAGAGAGTTTGGAATATTGCCTCCCAGAGTTCCTGTTAGCCTTTCAGCAGTGACTGATTGAATTCCATCTAAAGGGTTCATGCATTGCATCGAAGCTTCTTGCCATGTTTACAGGCGTGATGAAAAATAGGTAACTCATGCTAGTATTGCTTGTCATCTGTAATTGGAGACATCAGGAAGCAAGGCATACACCTGAGCAGATAGTTGCATTTCCAAAAGGGGCCCTGCCAGTTGATAGCAGGGGAAAGATTTTGGTAGTTAGAGATTCGGGTCGTCCTCTGTTCATTATTTCTTGTTCTCATCTTTCAGGCCAGTCCAGAAAGAGGAAGCTAACATCAGTTACTTAATCAACAAGTATTATTGAGTACTATTTGCTAGGTGTTATGAATACAAAACCAAAAACAAAACAATTCCTGTCCTCAAGTAGCTCATATTCTAATTGTGGGGCAACAAACCTATACACAGGTGTCTTCAAAACCATACAAAGTAGAAATAAATTAATCTTGGGGAGGAGGCAGTAGCAACTATGGACACCAGCATGGTGTCTTGCAGAACTGAGTGCTCTTAAACTGAGTCTTAAAGGAAACCAGGAATTCCAAAGGGTAGAAGTTGGAAAGGAGAACATTCTAGACAAGAGGGACAGTCAGTGGAAAGGCATGGAAATGAGAGCTGGAATGTGTATGAAGAGCATCAAAAAGGCCAGTATGATTGGATCTTAGAATGGGTGGAGGGGAGTTATGTCTAATAATAAGGCTAGAAAGGTAAGATGGAGCCAGGTTGGGAGGGACTTTTAATTTCTTGTCTTTAGGATAATAAGTAGGGGTTTATTGAGTATATATGGATTTGAGGGGTGGTAGTAAGAAGGTCAGAATTTCATCACTTTGGTGTTGCCTGAAATTGGTGGATTGGAGTGGAGAGGGATTTGAGACAGAGATACTAGGAAACTATAGCAATAGTGCCTGTGCGAGTGGATAGAAGGTGATTTATAGTAGAGATATCATGAAGATAGAAATGACAAGATTTAGTAACTTATTGGATATTTTTTGTGAATGAGAAGTTGAGGATGATTAAGCTAGATGACTGGAAGGGATAGTGGTGCCTTGGACAGAAATGTGGATAGTTCAAGGGGAAAGGTAGATTTTGGGGTAAAGATAATGAGTTTTGTTTTGAATATGTTGAATGCGATTGAATGTGAGATGTCTACAAAACATTTTGGAATGTCCAGTAGACAGGCAGAAATCCAGGCTTGGGGCCAGAGAAAGAGAGTAGTACTGGATATTATCTATAATAGATAGTAATTAAACACATGGGAGTTGATGAGGTTAACAGGTGAGAAACTTTAGGTAAAAAAGAAGAGAGGGCCCTGGACAGTGCCTTGGGTACACCTACAGTTAAGGGTATGATGTGGATAATGATCCCAGCAAAGAATTCCAAGAAGGAATGATTATCAGGAGAGAGCATTGTCACAGAAACTCAGATAGGAAGGTGTATTCAAGAGAAGAGGGTGCTCCATAGTGTCAGATGCTGTGGAGAGGTCAAGAAGGATAAGAATTTAGAAAAGACCATATTTTGTAGTTAAGATGATTGGTAAATTTGGAGATAATGGTTTTAGTTAAGTAGTGAAGTCAGAAACTAGACTTCAAAGAGTTGAGAGTGAGAGGAAAGGCATCAATTTTAAAAAGTCTTCTTAAGTAGCTTTGCTAAGAGAGGAGAGATATATAGGACAATAGGTAGAAGCTAGATTGCAGAAGGTTTAGAAGAGAGTGAGAGGATAGGAAGTGCAGGCAACCAGTGTAGACTGCTTTTTCAAGAAATTTGAGAAAAGTACAGAGAAATATAAGATGATAACTTAGTGGGAAGGTAGGATCCCTTGGTAGCTTTTTAAGAATGGGAGAGACCTAGGGCAGCTAGTTGTCACAGTAGATAGAGCTCCAGCCTTGGAGTCAGGAGAACCTGAGTTCAAATCTAGCCTCAGACACTTGACACTAGCTGTGTGACCCTGGGCAAGTCATTTAACCCCAATTGCCTCATACCCCACCCCTCCCAAAAAAAAGAATGAGGGAGACTAGTAGTGTTTGTAAACAGCAGGAAAGAAATTCTAGATAGAGCAGGAAAGAGGGAGTGATATGGTGGTAATCTTCTGGAGAAGGGATGAGAACAAGGGAACATGTAGAAGCATTGGCCTTGGTGGGGAGAAGTGCCATTTCTTTATCAGAAACTGCAGTAGAGGAAGAAGTTAATAGGGGATAACGTAAAGAGATTGTGAGATAAAGAAGAGGGAACTCATTTGTTTAGTTTTTCAGTTGTGTCCACCTCTTTCTGACCCCATTTGGAGTTTTCTTGGCAAAGATAATAAAATGATTTGCCGTTTTCTTCCTCAGCTCATTTTACAGGTGAGAAAACTGAGGCAAACCCGATTAAGTGACTTGCCCAGGGTCACACAGCTAATAAGTGTCTGAGATCAGATTTGAACTTAAGAAGATGCATCTTCCTGACTTCACTCTATCTGTTGTTCCACTTAGCTGCTCAAAGAGGGGACCTCACAAGGCCTCAGTTTTCCTGGTAAAGTGTAAGGTGAAATCATTAGCTGATAGGGTAGGGGAAGAAGTTGGTCTGGGAGATGAAAGGAAAGAAAAGAAAGTTTGGAATAGCTGCTATGGTGAATAGCAATTAGGGAGGAGTAAAAGGATTGTTTTACCACAGTGAGGACCTAGTTGAGATCAGATAAAATTTTGTAGTAGAACCTATGGGCTTAATTGTGTATTTCCTCTGTTTAGTAGCATGAGTAAAAACAAAGGAGATAGATGAAGGGAAAGTCAGGGTTTGATGAGAAGTCTGGTTCTTCTGGCTGCAAAGTATGTCCTTTCTTTTGCTTTGTTTAGTTATCCAATTTTCATTGACTTTTCTCCTCTCTGTGTCTTGCAGGTTGGGTGGACCAGATCCCTTGGACTATGTTAGCATGTACAGGAACTTGGGAAGTCCAGGTGCAAATGTCCCTGAACACTGGCACTACGTTAGCTTTGGACTGAGTGATTTATATGGCGACAACAGAGTCCACGAGTGAGTATGTGCCCACCTGCCCATTAACTTCTTTCTTAGCCTTTGGCTTAAACTTGTGTCCTGTTTTCTGAGGCTTAGCTTAGCCAAAGCAGCAGTGACATTGTCTGGTAGAGTTAACACCTGTGAAGCTTTGTTGAAGTGGCATGAAATTGGGCTACAAGCATTTTCTTTGTGGACCTTTTGTGTCTGTGCTCTGGTATCAGGGATCTCATGAGTATTTTGAATAGATAGTATGTGCTAGATGACTACAGAGTGTTTGTTCTCTGCCAAGATCACACTTTAGAACTACTTACCTATTTGCTTGTCAGTCAGCATACATTTATCAAGCATCTATACTGTTCTAGGCATGTGTTAAGTGCTGAGGGATACAAATACAAAAAGGAAAGATAGTCCTTACCCTGAGAAGTTAGCAATCTAATGGGGGAAGACAATACAAAAAGAAGCTGGGGAGGAACAGAAAGTACCAAGTTCCTGGCACAGGGCAGGGGAAGGGGAGTAAATGGACATCACGGAGAAGACCAGAGAAGTACATCCAGGTAGAAAATGAAGAGATGGCTGGCTTGGGTGCCCTTCTTACATAGAGGCTCTGGGAGGAGCTCTTCCCCTTTCCCTCCAGTAAGGGGCACCAGGGGTAGAAAGTACTGATGAGAGGTATAAGTATCAGGGCTGATGTGATCTTCCAGGAGATGAGGCTCCTGGGGACATGAAGGAGAAGTCCAAAGGAGTACAACCACGTGAGAAACAAAAAGAACAGAGGGATAGTGAGGAGCAATACGATAGAAAAGAAACCTTTAGATGAAAGTTGTAGACTGGATTGAGAAGAAATGTATTGTGGAGGTGAAATCAGTCAGTATTTGGGCAATTGATTGGATATGGGAATTGAGAGTTGGGATCTAGGAATGGAATGGAAAAATAATTTATGAAGCTCTTATAATGTGCTAAGCTCTCTGCTAAGCTCTGGAAAAACACAGAAAATTAAGATAGCCTCTGGATTTAGAGTTCACATTCTAATTGAAGAGATAACACATAAAGAAAAGTTCAGCTGCAAGGTTGATTGGAGGGTACCTAGTAAGTGAGAGATGCACTTTATAGAGCTTTAGACAAGGTAGATGGCAAGGTCCAGAGTCTTTAGGTTGCACTGTTAGGAAGGGGAAATCATGGTGGGATCTGGGTATTTAGGGGTCAGAGTTGGGGCTCTTAGGGGAAGTATGGTTCTAGTGTCAGGGCCCAATGGATGGTCTCCAGGTGGGCTCAGAGAGGCTTAGGATGATTGAGGAAAGGATCCCCAAAGTTTTTTGATGGGCTTCCCTCTCCAGGGCTCACAGGTCTCTGATACTTGTGGAGAGAGAAGAGTCAAAGCTGAGTCTAAGATTTCCAACTTGGGTGACTAGAGGGATAGAAATACCCTAATTGGAAATAGGAACATTTGGAGAAAGATTTGGGAGGGAAGACAGTGAGTTTTGTTTTGGATATGTTGAGTGTAGGATGCTGATGTTCAGGCAGAGACGGCTAGAAAGGAGTTGGCAATCTGACATGAGAGAGAGAAGAGATGAGAAGACACTTCTCTGCGTCTCAGTTTGTTCATCTGTACCAAGGGAATGATAATAGCACCTCACTTGTAGGGTTGGGAGGATCAGATGAGATGACATATAAAATGCTTTGCAAACCTTCAAGCGATGTGTAAGTGTTAGCTAGCGTTACTTGATCTTGGTCTTTATCCCAGTCTGTACTGCATAGTGGTAACTGGGGGGAAAGAAAAAGTTGAAATGGATCTAGTCTTACTGTCTTGGTTGCTGCTGCTTTGATGGTTTCATCAGGAATGCTTGGAAATCCTTTCTTTCATTAAATATCTAGTTTTTTTCCCCTGTAGGATTATGTTCAGTTTCAGTGGGTAGGGTTTTTTTGGTTAGCTCCTTTGCTTTCTTGAATATCGTATTCTAAGCCCTCTGCTTCTTTTTAGGGGTAGCTGCTAAGTCTTGTGTGATCCTGACTGGCTGCACAATATTTGAATTGTTTTTTTTCTGGCTGCTTGAAGTATTTTCTCCTTGACCTGGGAGTTCTGGAATTTGGCTATAATATTCCTTATAGTTTTTATTTTGGGATCTTTTTCAGGTGATCAGTGGATTCTTTCAATTTCTGTTTTGCCTTCTGGTTTGAAGATATCTGGTCAGTTTTGCTTTATAATTTCCTGAAATATGATGTCTGGGACTTTTTTTTTTAATTAAAAAAATTTTTAATCATGACTTTTAGTTAGTTTAATAATTCTTAAATTATCTCTCCTTGATCTATTTTCCAGGTCATGTGTTTTTTCAGTGAGATATTTCACATTTTCTTCTATGGGTTTTTTTTTTCATTCTTTAGACTTCATGTGTGTGTGTGTGTGTGTGTGTGTGTGTGTGTTTGCTAGGCAATGGGGTTACATGACTTACCCAGAGTCACACAGCTATTAACTGTCAAGTATCTGAGGTCATATTTGAACTCAGGTCCTCCTGACTCCCGGGTTGGTGCTCTATCCATTGCGCCACCTAGCTGCCCCTTTTTGACTTTATTCTTATGGAGTCATTAGCTTCTACTTGACCAAGTCTAATTTTTAAGGAATTATTTTCTTCGGTGAGGTTTTGTACCTCTTTTACCATTTGGCCAATTCTGATTTTTTTAAGAAGTTATTTTTTCAGTATTTTTTGTGCCTCTTTTACCAAGCTATTAATTCTCTCTTCATAATTTTCTTTTATTGCTTTCATTTCTTTTCCCAGTTTTTCCTCTGCTGGTCTTATTTGATTTTTAAAATTACTTTTTTTTACTCTTTTTTAAAAAAAACTTTCTTCAGCTCTTCTAGGAATTCTTTTTTTTGTTGTTGGGCAATGGGCGTTAAGTGACTTGCCCAGGGTCACACAGCTAGTAAGTGTTATGTGTCTGAGGCCGAATTTGAACTCACGTCCTCCCGAATCCAGGGCCGGTGCTCTATCCACTGTGCCACCTAGCTGCCCCCTCGTCTAGGGAGTCTTGTTGGTCCAACATTGTGCATTGTGGAAATGCATTGTGTGCATTTTTTCTTTAAGGCTTTGCTTATAGATGTTTTCACATAGCTGTCTTCTTGTGTTTGTGTCTTGAACTTACCTGTCACTATAGTGGCATAAGTTTCTTTTGTTGTTGTTTGCTCATTTTCCCACTCTAGTTTTTGACTTTTAATTTTATGTAAGATATAGGCTCTGCTCACTCCTGGGGAGGCAGGATAGGGGACAGGGGTCACTGTCCCAAGTTTCAAACTTTTTTGTCCTGCTGTTTTTACAGCTGGTTCTAAAGGCTTGTAAGTTTTTGATGCTTCCAAGTGGGTGTGATCCAGGGAATATGATCACGGCTCTCTGGTCCTTCCCATGTAGGGCCCCTGCTATCTCTTGACCACAACTCTATTCTTCCCTTTAACTGTCACCTGAAACTTAGTAATGGGCAATGGAGTTGCCAGATGATACCCATTCCTACTACTAGTGCTAGTACAGGGGTCCGTATTCTCAGGAATCTCTTTCTGACCAGGTGTTCAGTTCCCTTATTGTCTCTGGGCAGTGAGAGCTTCTGGAGGCTACTGCTGTTGCTGCTGCCACTCCTTTCAAGGCACAAAGCTAATGCTGCATTTCTAGCCAGCTCCCACCTCAGTGCCATAGATCTCAATCTCCTGAAGTTGTCCTGGACTGGAAAAATGTCTCACTCCAACTTTTTGTTGATTATGTTGCTTTAAATTTTAACTTTAAACCACATTATTTTAAAGTTATTTAGAGGGAAATTTTGGGAGAGTTTGGCTAGTTTTACTCAGCTGTCTTGATTCTGCTCCTGTTGCTGCTTTACTTGAGAGATTTGTAAGTGTCAATCAGTCAACAAGCAAGTCAGTCAGCAAGTATTTATTAAATGCTTACTATGTTCCAGGTTCTGTGCTAAGCTCTGGGGATACAAAGAAGCAAATACGTGGTCCTTTCCCTCAAGGAATTCATATTCTGCCAGAGACAATGTGCCAAAAAAAAATCATACAGACAAGATATGTGTAGTGTAAATGGAAGATAATCTCAATAGGGAGGAGGATTGTGGGATTGAGGGACTCAGTGTGGAACAGGAAAAACCTCTTGCAGAAGGTAGAGTTGAGCCGAATGTTGAAGGAAGGTAAGGAACACAGGAAGTGGAAGTGAAGAGGGAGAATATTCCAAGTATGATTGAGAACCGCAGAGTCCAGAGATTTGGAGCATTGTGTACAAGGAATAGCTAGGAAGTCAGTGTCACTGGATCATAGAGTAAATGAAAGAGGGGGTAGGTAAAGTGTTAAGAAGACTATGGGAAGGTAGGAACGGGCCGGGTTGTGGAGGACTTTAAACGCCAAGCAACATTTTATGTTTCTTTCAGGAGGTATTAGGTCATTGAGGTTAATTGAGTAGAGAATGGCATGGTCAAGATCTACTATTTAGTAAAATCACTTTGGCAGCTGAGTAGAGGATGGATTTGAGAGGAGAGAGATATAAAGCCTGGGAGACAAACAGAAGGCTGTCAGTATTACTGTAATAACAGTAATTTAGGCATGGGGGTAATAATGACCCACACCAAGTTGATGGATGTGTGAATGGAGGAAAGGATTGATAGATGAAAGGTAGAAGTGACAAGATTTGAAAACAAATTAGATGTGTGGAGAGAGTTCAAGTAAGGGGTTGAAGATGATACCAATATTATGAGTGATTGTGAGACTGGCGGTGCCCTTAATACTTGAGAAATTCAGAAGAGAGAAGAGTTTTGGGGGGAAAGATAAGAAGTTCTGCTTTGAATATGCTGAGTTTGAGATGTGTATGAGACAATCCAGGTCTCATGTCCAAAAGACAGCTGATGATTTAAGACTGGAGGGTAGGGATGAATAAATAGATCTGAGAATCATCTGCATAGAAATGATCATTGAATTCATAGGGGCTGATAAGGTTACTAAGTGAAAATAGTATAAAGGGAGAAGAGAAGAGGTCCCAGGACAGAGC